CATAAATTGAATATTTCTTAAGTTATCGCTTCCTATTCAATAAAAAACATGACTTACATAAACACAAAACTTGGATTTCCTATTTCTTTTTGGGTTCGCCCCATTGTTTATATGAACTTTTTTGTAGCTCTAAAAGTCTGTTATCACTCCTATAAAAATTTTCTACTAATTACGGGACACCCTGTATAGTATTATCAAACCCACACATTTATCTATGCTCCAACATAAATTATACAGGTGATACGTTTGATTGCTATCATAATCTCTGGTCCAAGCTTGTGCAGTGGTGTCTTCATGGATTCTAAGTACGACCTTACTTTCCGCTTTGGTTTAAGCTGATGGGTCTCCCATAGCTTTTTTGTAAATTTATTTCTTTATTATAATTTGTATTTCTTAGTAAATTTGAACAAATAAAACTTACTTCATTCATTCTTTCCGCTTTGGTGAATTATAAATTTCTTTTATACTTTATATTTATCCATTTTTTATTACTACTAACAATATGAAATTAAATAGCTACCTAAATATTTCTTATAAAATAAGTGAAAGTAAAAATAAATTTCTCTGTCCTATAATATAGTGCTTTTACTTATATGCATAACACATTACTACCATTCGATTACTGACCAACATACTGTGTGAATTATCCGCACGAGCCAACTTTTTTTATTAAATATAAGTTAAACTAGTACAACTCCATAAATATAAATGTAGGTGACGTGAATGCAAAGATGGGAAGAGAAGTTCATTTTCCGACGATCGGTAAAGAAAGTTTGGATGAATATAGCAATGATAATTGGATCTGCACGATAAACTTTGCCATCTCGAAAACTCTGATAATTAAAAGTACTAAATTTAAACATAAGAACATTCATAAGTATACCTGGATATCACCGGATTCGCAAACACGAAATCAAATCGATCATGTCTTAATATAACATAGCTGGCAAAGCACCACCCTACTACCCTACCATCCTCTTCTCAGCAGAAATAAGTATTTTCAGAAAAAACAGAAGTGAAAGTAAAAATTATAGACGCTATATTTATTTACATTTCATTGTGGGTATTTTTATTTGTTCAAATACCCTGATATAGACAAATTTTAATTTTTATATCGCTGTATAATATACAATTAAATATGGACCAACGATACAATTAATACCAATGATAACATTTATAAAACCGAATATGTATATGTACATAATATTGTCAGAGTACGTAATATATTAAGCTCATGTTATGTATGGAAGCCTGTTGTACTCTTTCAGGCGAGTTCGGACGCGCTCGTATTCCTTTGATTCTTCCATTACAACTGTTATCCATTACGATCTTATGTCTCCTTAAGTTAATTATCAAATTCTTTCATATTTTATATTTAACTATTTTTTGTATCAAAGATTAATGTGAAATGGTCTATTATTTCAAATTAAAAAAATTAAAGGTAGTTTAGAGGAAGCTAATATTGAAAATTAGCCATTTAAGCCCTGTTAGAGAACATCAATGAGAATAAAACCTACATTATATTAAAAACTGTCAAATAATAGGATATTTTATTTTAGAAAACTAAACTTTTAAGTAATTAATTATTATCACCTTTATTTTATTTTCATAAAATGAGAGGAGGTAAAAGTTAATACTTGACATATAAAGCTGTAACATTCTCTTTTATACAATAAAGTGAGCTACGATGGATTCTAATGTCAATATAGTTTCTCATAATTAATTTACTTTCTTTATTACCATAAACAGTTTGATAATTATCCATAGGACACCAACTGTGACATTTCTGGTTAATAAATGCTCTCTTAAGGAGCACCACAAGGCGAATGAATGAGTGCTTGCCAGCCAATGAATTGCACCGATCGTAATCACACGAATTAACCAAAAATATAATGCAAAATAAAATTTAAATATATAGGTATCAATCGTTTGCCGATATTAACTGCCACTCCTCACTCTTAGCGTTAAATTCTAGTGCTGAAATTGTATTCATTACCCTTGTTTGATTTCAATATAATGACCAATACCATTACTGACAATATAAACGATATCCACTCTATATTTATTTCCACTTTAAAAAATATTTACATACTAAAAAAATGTCCTGATTTTTCCCATTTTTCCAGGTCGGTCGCCATCTTGATACATTAATTTGGCTCTCTAGATAGTTAAAACTTGGGTCATTATAAAAGGAGTTATTGCCAACTGTGTACAGATTCTGTGGATCTGCCAAGTTTTTCCTTCTCATTACCATCATCTTTTCTTTCTTTAGACGTAAAAAGGTGGCGGCCCCATCGCCCGGTCATAGTACCGTAGATAGCCAGTGGCCCTCCAGGTTGGGAGAACAATACACTGATGCTCACACATATATACTCTATATAGTATACTACCACACACTCACTGACATCATAATCGAAGGTCATAAACAGTACACACCCTAGGGTCACCTTCCCTAGGTAGCCACGCCCGGATGGGGAAGTGTATCAGGGCACTTTGAGGAGGCACCCCCTCCACCTGACTCGGGGGCAATGGGCTGATATCCTATTCCCCTTAAATTATTTTATCTAAAAAGCTCAGACAGGATTAGCTGGACTGATATACAGAAAACAAATCAGGAAACGTCAATTGGAATATACGATTGTCTCATGGAATATTTTGACACTATATAGACTTGGAGCACTGCAAGTGTTTCTAAATACGCTTGAAAAATATAAAATACACAAAGCTGCCATTGAGGAAATCAGGTGGACAGGACAGGCCAGCCTAATGAAAGGAAACCACACTGTATACTATAGCTGTGATGACTGCCTCCACACATTCGGGACTGGTTTTGTTGTTAACAAAAGACTATCTCAGAATGTGATTGATTTTAAACCGATTAGTCCTGCTCTGACTTCAGGGGAAATTCTATAATATTAGCCTAATATCTGTCCATGCACCTACAGAAGTGTCAGAAGAGGACGTGAAAGATGCCTTCTATGAAGAGCTTGAAAGGTGTGTCGAAAGCAGTTCCAGATACGACATGAAGATTGTGCTAGGTGATCATAATGCACAAATAGGCAAAGAACCTAAATATCGACCAACAATAGGTCTCCATAGCCTACATGATATTTCCAATGACAATGGGAAGGGACTCATAAACTTTGCAGCCTCAAAAGGCCTTTGCATTGGCAGCACATGTTTCCCTCACAAGAAAATACTTCTGGCTACATGGAGAAACTGTGTTACTGTTCGACATATACAAGCTCAAAAGCGAAGAGATTCAGACAAGGTTCACTGCTGCAATGGATACAAAGATTAGGACCATTGACTGTAATGCAACCATTGATAATCAATGGAAAGAATGTGAAACAGCTATGACTGAGGTAGCAAAGGAAGTAATTGGGATCGAGGAAAAGCGAAGGAGCTTCTCTTCTTCTTAATAATTAATTATTATTCTAGTACCAGACCGGATTGTATTGTTATTCAATAAAATATTATTCTTTATCCTATTATTATTATTCAAGGTCCCAAAAAAAAAAAGTAGTTAAACCTGTAGTGTTATATGAAATAAAGAGAAAGGGATTTACCAGAACCGAAAACAGAGAGAAAAATATTAAGGTATATCCATGTGCCAAGAAAGGAGGGAGATGAGTACTGGCTTAAAATAATCAAGAAGTGTATGAAGATTTCAAAGATCTAGAAACACCAGTGAGGAAAAAGAGATTGAAATTCTTTGGTCTCATGAAGATAATGAATAAAGACAGAATAAACAAACGGATATTTGACAAAGTAATAGGACTGTAGAATATCAAAGGAACAGATTAAGGAAGACATAATAAGACTTGGGATAAAATAAGATGAGTAAATAGATAGGGAAATATCCTGAGGAACAGTGAATAAGACCAAGGTCCTTGTAGAAAAGAAGAGACAGGAAGGAAGAAAACGGACAGAAGAGTGGAAAAAGGAAACGAGTGAAAAAGTGAAGAAAATTTGGTCTAATGTCCGCATAGTTCTTAGCTGTGCCTTTATTGCAAAAAAAAAAATTTACAAGAGGTGAAATTTTATTTATAGTAAATGAAATATACCTAGTTTTTCCATGAATACAGTTACAAAAGTTGAACTTTGTTTACTTCCTTGGGTATTATTTAGATAATCCCTAAAAAAAATTAGAGTGGATAAATGCTAAGTGCTCCTTGGCTGTTACGTTACACCAATGGCCTTTATCAAAAGATTTTGTATAGTGATGAGAAAATTTTTACAATTGAAGAAAAATTTAATCGCCAAAATGATCGTGTGTGTGCACACAGTTCTAATGAAGCCCAGGAAATTATGGAAAGAGGTCATCACCCATACTTAGTGATGGTTTGGTGGGGAGTTTGCTTTTATGGCACCACAAAGCTCCATTTTTGTGAAAAAGGAGTTAAAAAAGACGCTAAAAACTATCAGGACGATATTTTGGAACCTCTTGTCTAGTCTCTAAATGATACTCTATTTGCTGCAAGTCATTGTGTTTTCCAGCAGGATTCCGCTCCAGCTCACAAGGCCAGGTCAACTCAACAGTGGCTGTAAAAGAACATCCCTAAGACCAGGTCAACTCAGCAGTGGCTGTAAAAGAACATCCCTGAATTCATCTCTGCCTCGGATTGGCCCTCAGGAAGCCCTGATCTCAACCCACTAGATTATCGGCTTTGGTTCGAACTGGAGAGGAGGCATGCCACAGAGCACACCCTAACTTGGAAAGCCTCAAACAATCTCTGGTCCAAACAGTTGAGCACTTTCCTCAAGAAGTGCTGCGTGCTACTATTGATGACTGGCCACAGAGATTAAATGCCTGTGTCAAGGCAAAAGGGAGACATTTTGAGTAATTTCTTTTTTGTTTTACTCTCTATAGATATACATTTAATTTTCAAATTTCCTTGTAACAATATTTATGGCAGGACTAGGTACATTGCAATATTACTTTTAAAATATTTTTAAATTTATTTCTAAAGTTCAAAGTTATATTTTTGCTTTCTTACTTTGTAAAAGAAGCAAATACAGCCCAATATACTTCTGTTGAAGTTCCTCTTCCAGATTCAGCCTCAAGATCCATATCGACTAATTCTCTAATCCGCTTCATAGCTAATTCATAGTCATCATCATTTAATGGGGCAAAAGCATTTTCTAGAACATCTGAAGCATGAGCAAGAACCAGAAGTGAAAGAAGTCTTTTATCCATCCTCTGGGGATCATTAACCCACTTTGACAAAACTGCTTCCTGGACCTATTTTGAGATATAATAAATCAATTAGATTAATGAAAATAAAGTATGTGATTATAGACAAAACATACGGATGAAACCTATTAAAAATAAGAATAACAAAAAATAGACAATTATCAAACTTATTATTCGAGGCACCAGGAAAGAAGGTAAATTTTCCTTGACTTATTGGGAAAAAAAAACATAAAAATAAATAAAGCTATACCACTACAACCCATGAAAGGTTTTGGATTCTGTAGTTGCTAAGCAATCATTAGTGTTGCTAAGGTATTAACTAGCATTTTTATAAGGCTATCTAGTAATAAGTATTAGTAACACAAAATAAAAAATGTCTCATGAATGACAAATTTTCAGGACTTTTTTTTCTTTATTTATTTTTTTTTTCAAATACAGAAATTAAGTGTCACCATAATGATATGTATTATATTACCACAAAGGACCGAGGAACAGTCAGATATTAAATTATTCAGTTAGTGAGTAATGTTCAGTTGGTGATAAAATTTATGATAAATAAACAGTTGAATATGTAATATAGATATTTTATACCAAATTATTAAAGATAAGAGACCTTTTTTACTAAACGAGATTTTGCAAGATTGTCTGTTAATGGGTGAGTTGTCATATCGAATAACAGGAAGTTTTGTTTTTCAGTAGTTAAAACACCCTTCTCTACCAAGTTTTTTGCAAGCCTCTCTCGTACATTTTTGAGTTGATATCTTAACTTCAATGGATTCCATGTCTCTCCTATAAAAATAAAACATTTAAGAATCACCAGGTTATTAATATTTTAAAAAAGCTAAATGTTATAGTCTTACCACTAAGATATTCTATCCAGCTCTGCACATTTTCAGGAGGATCCGTTTCTTTCATATGTTTTAAAGCTTCATCAAGCAATACATCACCAGTTGGAGTATCATTTTTGACAATAACTTTACGGTTTAACAAAGATTTTCTCTTCATACCAGCTTTTTCAAGTTCAATTCTGCCACGTAGTCCCAATTCAATCAGAATACATCCTCTGAGACCACTAGATATGCAATCATTCCAGAATGATGTATAACCCTATGAACGTCATACTTAGTTAAATCAGATGAAGAAATAAAAAATAAAAAAATTAATACTTATGTCAGCTGATATACAGTAAGTCTACTTGTATATTATTATTCTCTGATATTGAATGCCAACAAGCAAAATCACAGAGTAATGCAAGTTAAAAAATAATAATGGAATACAGACTATGCCATGAACTATATATCCTTATTTACACAACAAAAACCTGAAACAACTCAACCCTTTGACTGTGGACAGGGCACATGCCTTCCCGTTAAGTGTTGGGTTACTGGTGCAGACGGGATGTATACCTTCCCAGTAGTGAGTTGGGTCACAGGTGTGGATGGGATATATGCCTTCCCACCTGGGCGGTCGCCACTTAAACAGGTAGGGGATAGTCCCACCTTCACCATCTGACTTGTGGCTTGGTCGGTGCTTTCCTTAATCCCCAGTAGAAGTCGTTCCAGATTCTGACCATTTGGAAGCTATCAGTTGCAGATTTATTCTGAATCCCCCGGTATGAGCTTTCTCTGTTATTTGTGTCATATCCGTGATCTTATTTATATTCTATTTAAATGTTTTATACATAAAATAAATGTTAATAAGGTAATTTCATAATTTTTTTTCTTATTTTTTTAATTTTGGTTTTGACTGAATGCTGATTTGGGTACAGGTGAATCTCTGTATACTAAACAAATAAATATTAGTTTCCTACATTTTACACACATGCACACACACACACACACATATATGATGTAATAAAATGTATTAATGTATGATTAATTAAAATGTAATAACAAAAATTAATATATGTAAAAATATACAGAATTAAAATGATGCTTTAGTTGTTTTATCATTTTTTCATCCACCTAAAAACAGTATATATATATATATATATATATATATATATATATATATATATATATATATATATATATATATATATATATTTATATGTATATCTTTCATATAATATAAAAGTTTTTGAAATTCAAAATAAATGTAAGTGCAAATATAAAATTTATAACTGCGTTATTGTCAATATGAAACTTTTTTAGTTAAGAAACCTTTTTTTTAGAATCTCTTGACTCTTTTGACTTCCGCCATTAGTCTCCTCGCAGCATTGGTGCTGTTCTAGGCAATAAGCTGTGATCGTTTGGTTCTCTTCGTATGTAGATAATATCCAGGGAGCAGATGGTTTTTAATAACCGGACACGATCACAATCACTCCCTAGGTAAGAAATAAATTTGTAAATACAAAGAAATATATAATTCGAAACCCGTCGTCGGTGTCCTTTTTTTATCCACTTACAGTTATTTTTGTGATCATTTTCAGTTCTTTTGCTTTTCAGAAATGAGTAAATATGCAAGCAAGAAAGCAAAGTGTTGCGGGATTGTCGTTCTAATTTTGCATTGCTATGTGCGGCCAGGAAGGCATATATTCCGTTTTTTAAAAGTGGAATGAAAACGCTTAAATGCATGAAAAAAAATAATTTTTTTTACGTCTTTGTGGATTTGAGGATGTAACATATGGTAGAAACTCGCAAATGAGCTTCCGCAGTCAAAGGGTTAAGTAAAACAATGATTACTAAATATAGAAAAAATCGTTGAAGTGGCTCATGAGATAAACAAAACTGAAGGTGAAGATATCCTTGGAGAGGGGTACAAGGCGACCATCACTCGAGATTGATAAGGTTATTCAGCAAGCTGTAGAATCAAATCTATCCTCAATACTTGTGGTCTTGTCAAGGAGTGTGGAGAGTCAAAAGACACTGTGTTGCCACCTGAATTCCTTGTGTAAGGTAAAAACAAGCAGTGGACCGGTACCACGTGAGTTTACACCCCAACAAACTGTCAAGAGGATTCAGATTTGAATTTTTTTTTTTTAAACCTTTCGATTTGCAATTTTTACCAAAAAATTGTCACTTGTGATGAAAAATTAAATTACGGGGGAAATCCTGATACCACTGCGCAATAGTTAGATCGAGGTCAAACGGCTTTTCAGGTTGCTGGAAAAATCATTTAATGCATTTCACGAAGTCGAAATAGCAGTTCAGGAATTTTTTGATATCCAAAAGAGTGGTTGGTACCTGCATGGGACCAACCAACTGGCCAAAAGATGGGAAATGGCTGTGCACCACAATGGGTTATATTTTGAATATTAACTTTATGTTACATTACAGAAAAAATATATGAATTATATGTTGAAAAATGGTCATTTTTTAAAATATATACAGTCTTATGACCTGATTTATAAACAAGCGAATTTATTTAATACAAAATTGCATGCCTATAGTGGCATAAATAGTTCGAAAGGCTTCTCCTTCCCCTTACACATTTTGACTACAACGCTTCAATAATAATGATGCCTGACCATAAGAAAACCTATCAGTTCAGGTTAATTAATAAAAAATCAATCAAATTGTGATATGAAATCAATTAATTCTCATTTAAGAATAATTTATTATTACATGACCTTTTTTTTTTTTTTACTGCATTAATTAACTGCAATAAAATCTCTATATAAGAACTTATTTGTTCTTGGAATGGAAAAATGTGGATCTCTTACAGAATATGTACACCAGTTACTTTTCAGTAACTACAGTGATTGTTATCTCTTATTAATACAAGATTCAGTCATAATATATAAATAATTTACAAGTCATTAAAAATGAAGTTGTTTATGCTTTATTAAAACATAAAATTTTGAAATAGTGTCAGATCATTTTTAATAATGAAAAGTATTCTACATGAAGGTGTATGCTGTAGTGGAGTTAAACATTGAGTCAATGTGACCAATCAAAAAGACAAATAAGGAAGAAGTACGGGACCCACAGATCAATGGTGCAATTATATTTAAGTAAGGAAGTTCGTCTGAAGGAATAAATACACTATGTTGATATTGTTTTAAAGGAATATTTAAATGACCTCCAGAGTAACACATCTTTAATGTTATAGATTATAAATGTTTCTATCTTTCTAATTTATAAATAAAATAAATGTTTCAATATGTTAATACACATATATTTTTTATCATATTATAACTGTAAATAATTACCGTATCTAATGAAAAGTAACTAGTGTACCTATTCTATTAAAGACCCAAACATTGCTTCATCACTTTCTTTAAGTGCTTCTTGGCACCTGCTCAATGCACAGGATTCCTAGATCATTTAAGCTTGTATTACTCATCTGATTCCTCAGTTCAAATGAGAAACCTTTCCGTTTCACAACAATTCTCTTTCACAAATCACATCACTCATTTCAATTAATTTATTTTTATTTACTTCCCTTGCACCGCTTGGATGTTCCCTCCTCACTGGGCTCAATCATTCAACTCAACTGATAATCAACTAGATCCGTTGTTTAAGGAAAGTGTTGGTTTCCTGATTTCTGATGTCGGTCATGCAGAAGGTTTTGATGTGATGCATGTGCAGTGGATTCCAATTTGAGTGAATCATGTTATCATCAAAACTACAAGCAGAATCTCCTGTTGATTTTACTTTACTTCCCAGACATTTCTGAAGTATAATATATTTGTACTAAAATCTACACTTTCTGTCCTCTCTTATTATTACATAATCATTATTTCTTGAATTTTTTGTAAACTCTCAGAAATATTTGTAGGAATGAATAAATCTAGAAACTCAACGATTCCTTGAGCCTCGGAGCCTGGCAAGTTATGTTTCAAAGCCCCTGATACTGATATAATAACTAGTAACTTCAGTTCCATTTGTAAGAATCACAGAGATATTCAAAATTTATTGGATATGGGTGAAAATGCAAAGATATATTTTGTTATAATAGGCATCACTTGAAACATATAAAAATGGGTACTATTTAAAATGGGGACGATTTAGGAATGAGTGAAGAGGATGCCTGCAACCCATATGATGTACCTGCCTCTGTATTATATAAATATTACTTATAAGGATAATTGAACTTTTTAAAATAATTTTAAAGTAAATTACTGAAAAATATTGGAGAACCAGGCCTCTTTTCATAAAATATTGGGGGAGGGGAACAGAAAGTGCCCTAACTAATTATACTCATTTTGCCACTTTATCTCACTAGAAGATGGGAGCTAATAACCCACTCATGATATTTATGATGCTAGACAATTATAATTCCTCATAATTGCTAAAATATCTCCTTATTCATATTTTAACATCTCATGAATAATGATTAAGGTCTTTATTACATTTAAAAATTAATGAAAATTACTAATCAAGGAGAAAAATCAGTTCCAATTCTTGGATGTAGTTAGGGTTTGGACAGAAATTAAAAATTCAAACAAGCAACTGCCAAAAAGGTTGTAGAGTTGCTTGGTGTTCTAGAAAGGTAGGTACAAATAGCATTGCACTGCGCTTGTTTTGTGAAGGCTAATTTTATCAAAAAATGAGGGCGAATTTCTTTAGAACAAGTTGATAGTAAAGACTTCGAGAAATAATGCAGAATATTGGAATAAATCAACTTGATACATAAAAAAAACATAAGTTGTGCCATTGTTAACTCCCAACTTTATATTAATCTGATTTATTTGTGTTATGTAGATAAAATACTAATGTAATCTATTGATTTAATTAAGTTTAGTAAATACAACTTTCATGTTATTTGCCAAAAAAGTCAACGGTGTATTTTTTTATTTTATCTCGGATCCCGACCAACTTGGTGCGTCAAAGCCTACTCCAACAATGATTGCCAGTCCATCGCCTTCCATTCCTTAAACCAAGCAGTTTTTTAGAGTCCATAGCCACACAATCCTCCCAACAAAGCCAGGGACGTCATGCTCGTCTTGTACCATACACTTGCTCCAACAAAATTTTTAATGGGATCTCTTCCTGGTTCATGCTAATTATATGACTAGCCCAACAAAGTCGTACTACTTTGATGATGTTAATGACATTGATTTTAATGTTTTTATACATTACACTAACTTGTTCATATTCTCCAGGAGCCCTGCCCACACACACACTTCTATATATTCTGCAGAACACTTTCCTTTCCAATATCGGAAGAGATTGTTATTGGGCTTTGGTCATCGTCCAACATTCTGAGCCCTATGCAAGTACTGGCCTAATAAGCAGTGTCTTAAAGGCTTTGGACAAAATGCTGCTCCTTATTTGTTTTCGAAACACAAAATATGTACCCTACGCAGAAAGAATGCGTCGCTTTATTTCTTCTTGCATGGTATTGTTGTAGTTGACTTGGGATCCTTAATATATATAAATTACTGTACCCTTTCAGTCCGGTGTGGACCTATTGCAATGTATCTTTCTGCTTCTCTTTCTTGGTTTAATCAAAGATTATCTTTAGATCCAAGCTTACCACTGATTCCAGTGCCTCAAAAGCTTCCTTCACTGCTTTGAGGGATCTTCCCGCAAGATCCAAGTCATCGGGAAATCCCAAAACGGATTGATTTATTTAATATAATTTCTTCTGTCTGGATTCCCGAGTCTCTAATTACCTATTCAAGCAAACATTTGAAAACGAGACAACATTACAGTGATTTTACCTATATTTACTGGAATTCAATTATTTGTAACATGTTTTTAAATAACACAAATAATTTAATAAATTTAAAGAATTGTAATTTTCAAAACATTAAATTTAATAATACCTGTAATGGTTTTGAAGTTATAGATTTAGTGAGTGTACGAGAAATCTAGATAGCATTGAATCGACCCCCTGTTTCTCCATTATCTATAGAAATAAAGAGGTTTTATGGATGAAAGTTAGTTCGTATTTGGTTTGTAGTTTGAAGAGTGGTTCGTTCACAGTTCAGTTTGAAGTTAACTTGCTGTGAAGATAGTTCTTTATGAAGAAAGTTAGCTGTGAACATTTATCAGTGTAAAGGTTACACTATCTGCAAATAATTTCATCAAGCGTTTTAGTACTTGAATTTATTTAATGTATATTGCAAAGTGAACAGGTGAATTGAATTACTATGAACTACCAGACCTTCAATAAGAGTTGTAATTTGGAATATAAGTTAATCGTTGTTATTAATTATAAAAATTGGTAGGAGAACATAAAAATGGTTATTTATTGGGACAAATGCTTATTAAAAGTGCAGGAACAATTGATATACAATTTCAATCCATATACAAACAACCAAATTAAAAAATCTGAACAACTCAACCTTATGTGTTTAATTGCTCTTTATATTCTGGCTTTTTACTTTATTATTAGAAACAAGCCATTATTCTCCCACTCGATAAGAATCACAACTCATCCTTTCCTTGTAGATTACTGCTTTATTTCTACCAATCTAACCTTTAAATAAATTAGAACATCTTGTTCAGTCCCAAATATCTAGTTACCTTCAGCAAGAAAATGATCTAAATCTCCATAAATATGCATTCTCACAAAAATTTTCTACTCAATCAGTTCAGAACCAATGGATGGAATTTTAGCTGTTTTAAGTACACCATAAAGCTTGACAGATATCTAATAACTAAACAAATCCTATATTCACCAAATACCCCACTTTGTAAAAAAAAAACTTTAGCGATGAAAAATTTAATATTAAAAGAATTTTAAATACAAGCTAAAAAAGTTAGCCAGTATCATTTAGTTATAAAATATGCCTTCAGTAATAAGTTATATGTATGCTAACAGAGAATAGTTACATGAAAAAAAAAGTATTTGCTAAAAATTCAAGTACAATAATAAACAAAAAATTTAAAATTTAATTTTAAAGAAAATAAATTGGAAACACAAGTTAATTGAAAAACCAAAACCTCTCTATTCATCATGAAAAAATGTTTAATTTCAAAAGAATTATAGTATTTGGTGTTATTTTAAGTTCTCGAAACAAATATTTCAACAACCTGTTAGTGCCTTATCTCAGCTATTTCAAGGTTCTTAAAATATAATTACCTTTTGTATATTAACAGATTAATGTAAACCTAACAAAATTCAATCATTTATTTATTTATAAGAACTAAATCAAGGGTTCAGATTAAGAAAAATAAAGATTGTGCGGTAGGAAACTTTTTTGAAATACATGATGTTAATATATTTTCTAGAAAGGTAATTATTATAAATTTAATCAAAATATTGGCAATCAATTGTTTTTAATGTTGGAAACAGATAAGGTTATTAAAATGGGTCATTTAATGCTGAAGCTATGATGACAAAAGTGTTTTACAAATAATGAAAATGTTAATTACAACACTATCAATTTAACTATTTCACAGCCAAGCGGGCTTATTTAAAACATCATCTAGTTTGTAAAGGAACGACGGGGCAAAAAAATAATTGGATTTTTATAGACTGTGGATACCCTGAAGGAAAAAAACAGAATAAAATGAAATTAAGTCAACAGAATAACTTAGTGCAAGTTCTTAAAACTATCAATAGCATCGGATCCCTCTTTAATCTGGGCGATACCATAAATGATACCACTGATGAGCTCAGTGCAGTTTGGAACTTGTCTGCAATATCTATCAACAACTTCACACAAAATTATAATAGTAGCAGTTGGTTGGGAAGTGGGGTCATAAATGTAATAACACAGAAATAGAAACCTCATTTTATTGTGTGCCAAAGCTTCGGATCAGAGCAAGGTAAAAAGTTTATTTTTCTATGTCCTTATTTTCTCATTATAATTTTTACCTAAATGGTTGTTATATTGATTTTTCTTAACTCTCAACAAGGCTGGACACTTGTGCTGAAACATTGGTGAACAATAAAAAAAAATTACTTACATGTGTTGTTTTATCTATGACCGCACCCCACAATCACTTCACCTAAAATTCATTCTACGATAAGCAATAACTACATCATTTTAATTTATAATAATTTTCCTTATGCCTTCCACTTTAGCTGATTTTAAATCATTTAAGCCAAAATATTAAGTAGTACGTATTAACTAAGATGTATCAGATACTAACTTTACAATACGAATTAACCTAAACGTGTGTTAAGACATTTCACAAACTATGGGGAAAACAAATACATTATATACTTCTATAAGTCAGAGTATAAAACCATTTTCATAAAACATAAGTAGTTAAACAACAAAACACAATCAGGACCATTAAATTAAAAATATTTAATTTAGTAATAGCTTATTTAATATTCAAAACTAAAGAAAAGGATAATCATTACAATATTAATATAAAAATCAGTTAACTTACCCTTACTTCTGCATCTAATTAAGCTGTCTGAAAAGCATACTTAACTTAAATAATGTCATTACGGAACAGGACGAAGAACCTAGCCTTATCTGGTGATAATGAAATCAGTGAAAATTTATGGAAAAAAACAAATAAAACTTGGAAACGCAAATTGTTGAATAAGTGAAAGCGACAATAAGTTTACCTTGTTAGTATGAACCATTAATAAAATACCTGAAATACAAATAAGTATTGCAATATGCTAATTCTATCTACAAATTTGGAGTCCAAAAGATTTTGAATTCATTCCCTATTAACACTGAGCATAACAGGATTTTTTTTTTTTCAGCACAATAATTAACTACAATTCAGGAAAATAAAGCAGAAAAAAAAAAGAACATGGGAAACTGACAAATAATCTATTACAGATTTTACTAAAAAGAATCTCAATATGTTCTAGTAACTTGTTGACACTAAACATTAATTATGAACTAACCTCTTTATCTTTCAATCCTAACAATAAAACTTCTTCCATCAATGTTAATCTTGTTTCTTTAGAATCTCCATCATCATTTTCCTCATCCCTGTCACTGGATTTATCTTCAACATTGTGAAAATCTTTAGCACCTCCGCTATCACGAATTACATTTCTCCGTTGAACTAATCCTTCACTTCGATTCATTATAAAAAGTATTAAAACGAAATAACAGTCAGAACTCTAAATACTCCGAAATTTATTATTGCCGAACAACAGAGAACCTGCACAGGATCATATTCTGGAAATAATAATCCAAATGTTTAGCAAACACAACCAAACTACGTCAACTCACAATGCTGACTGCAATTGTGTTAAAGTTATCTCACAACATCGATTTTCAAATACCGATGATCACGGTATCGAATTCTTCGACTAAACCTAATAAATGTCAGTGATACAATAAATATAATTTAACTTCAATACCTTAAAAATAAAAAAATGAATAACTAAAATTATTAATCTTCCTCTTTATTATTATTTACAATGGTTATTCAATTATTGTACATGTTTTACTAATTTTCATAAAAACAACATACACTGTTAATTATAATTAATTTAAATTAGTAAACAGTTTTTAGTTTTTAATGGTATTTGTTTTTCCCATAGTTTGTGAAATGTCTAAACACACGTTTAGGTTAATTCGTATTGTAAAGTATATATAGTATAGTATATAGTATATATATATAGTTAAACGATCATTTTCTCCTAAATATCAAAATTGGAAAAAAGAAGCGGATTGTAATAAAACAATTTGTATAAAATAAAAAACAAAACAGTTGGTATCATAAAATAAATTAAGTATGATGAAAAAATACAAGTCATTCAGCCCAAAATACAGAGAAAGATTAACATAATCACAGAGCGAAAACTAACATGTTACATACTACGGGTGATTGCCACATACACATAACTTTTTATTTTAACGTTGTGGTTACAGGCAGAGATGGGCAAATGCTACTTTGAGTACCGAGTACCAAATATTTTACTCAAATTGAATCACTATTGGAAATTAAATCACTACTTCAGTTAATCGTTTGACATCAAATGGAGTAGTAATTAAATTATTTGGTAGTCAGTACTCAGAGTAGTATTTGCACACCTCTGGTTATAGGTAGAGTCATTGACATGCCATTATCGAATTAGTAATGATAGACACAGTACAGGGAATTCTTGTTGATGGATGTTCTTGAGGAATGGAAGAGGCAATTCTCTAAACAGAAGCAACAGTGTTGTAGATTTTCCGTTAATTCAGTCAATGGAACCGCCGGATGAAGAGGAGATTTTGAATTCTCTAGCAAAACTTAAAAATAATAAGGCTCCAGAGGTTGACGAATTGTCTGCAGAACTACTTAAGTGTGGAGGAAGTGAATAACTGAAAATCCTTCAGAATATCATGATTCGGATCTGGACTGATAAAGTAATGCCAAAATCTTGGAATAAATCGATAATATGTTCAATTCATAAAAAGGGTGATCGGCTAGTCTGCGGTAATTATAGAGGTATTTAGTTACTCTCTTGTGCGTACAAAGTGTTGTCCAACATTCTCTTTCAACGACTACTCTCCTATGCAGAAAAGATCTTAGGCCTGTACCGGTGTGGTTTTCTTGAAGGACGATCTACCATTGACCAAATATTATGCCTGCGTGTCATTCTTGAAAAATGACGTGAATATAATCTTTAAACACATCATCTTGTTGTTGATTTTAAAGAAGCGTATGATAGTGTTCATAGGAAACAGCTTTATGAGACAATAAGAGAGCTTGGAATCCCTGAAAAGCTTATTATAATGGTAAGACTCGCCATGAGAGAAGTGAGATGCACGGTGCAGGTTGGAGGAGCAAGATCGGCAGAATTCACTTTTGGAAAAGGACTAAGACAGGGAGATGCGCTGGCATGCCTCCTCTTTGATTTAGCTTTAGAGAAGTCCATTAGAGATTCTGGTATTCAAGTGGGCGGAACAGTATTCAGCCGGACAATGCAACTTCTTGCTTATGCAGACGATATCGACATTGCTGGACGCTGTTTCAGGCAGTCTCTGATGGATTCTTAAAACTAGTGGAAGCACTTCTTTATGGCTCAGAAACATGGACTATCTCCAAGACTGATGAGCGGAATCTAATGGTGTTTGAGAGGAAGATTTTGCTTAGAATCTTTGGAGCTTTGAAAGTTGACCAGTTATAGAGATGTCGGACAAACAGGAGCTCAAAAGAATCAGACATGGTCCATTTCATGAAGCTCGATAGATTGAGATGGGCTGTGCACGTCGCTTGAATGGCTGAGAATGACATTCCGAAAAAATCATTACAGAAGTAATACACGGAACAAGGCGTAGAGGAAGACCTCGGCTTCGGTAGAGTGACAGTGTGGCTGGTGATGCCATGCCAGGTCCATGTTGGAGTGATGAGCTGGATGGCGGCTGCATGTGATACGAACAATAGGTGAAGGCTGGTACAGGAGGCCAAGACTCGATATCGAGTTGTCGCGCCGACTGAATAGAATAGAATGATATACACTCATGCTACTTTAGGCAAAAAAGGGACTGCAGTTCCTTGTCAATTTGGTTATGCCGCTACATTACTCCTCTCTTATGAGTCAGTCGCGAAACCTCTCGGATAAGCAGATCTGGCATATTCGACCAAAAACTTGCAGAGGTGGTTGTTCCACTGCTAAATCATTGCTTTACTGTGATTGGTTTGCTTGATGTTAGGTTAAGCGGAAGTAAATGATGTGGTGTTGCATCCTGAAGATGCTTTTATATTTGTCGAGATTCTAGACAAATATTACATAGTCGTATTTAGGACTAGAATGGCTAACGTATTGTTCTATGACGGATTGCGTTAAGAGTTAACACATGGCGTCGTATCGTTGAAAAACGTGACTACACTTACGAAAGTACGTAGGAAAGAATGTAGGCTCGAGCTGTATTGTTGGGCGCTGGTCAGAGATTTTTTATGTGGCCACTGAGCGTCTGTAGAAAACAACTCTTTTCCGTAATGGTTTGTTCTAGCATTTCTTTTCACCGAGAATTCGTTGAATGGATCGCCCTAGAGTAGTAATAGAGTGCTGCTTCTCACATACTAAGAAAAACTGTGGAGAATAATCTCGCCCAGCTTCTCGAGTAGATAAGATGGTTCGTCAGAGCAGTTTTCAGACTGCGGTTTTACCTTTCAACACAGTAGTTATAGCCTGAGTATGGTTAGCAGCTGTCCTGCTTGTTCGAGCTTCTAGAATCTCAGGAAATAGCCAGCCTGAAGAGTTCATTTAAAAAGTGCTTACTTTAATAGGTCATAACTGGAGTAGGAAAACCAAAAGGGTTAACCCACACACGGAAAAAATACCTTTGCCAGCTATCGAAAAATTCTAAAAATAAATTAAGTCAATATTATCATAATTAGAAATATTTGTTAACGATAAATGAAAACCTAGAGATAATTATGTCAACAGGCTATTAGTGTTCTTCCTCTTTTTAATCTTAATTCATACCGACCATCATAGTATAGTATTTTTGTCTTTCTGTTCCCAATTTCCCTTCCCCACATTTATAAAAATAATAAAGGGGATGAAAATAAAGAAAAAATAAAAAAAAGAAATCTGGGGCAGCAACCCTCTTAGAATAATAACAATGTGTCAGATATTATGTACATTAATCTGGCAAGATGTTTATTAACTAAACGTTATTATATAGAAATTACTATTACAGAAACAAATAGTGCTTAAATAGATATAATAGTATAAATATGTCTTAGGTGGAGGAATTATTGTTGTTTAAAGGAACATGTGTGCTAGAGATGAGTATTGACGGATAGAGATGAGTAAAGAATTCTAAAAGGAGGTAACACGAATTACAAAGGATTTTCTGAAGGAAGTTGTTTTATGGGAGGAAAATTACAAAATAATGGATTGAGATCTATTATTTTTGAGTAGATAATCGTATAGTAAGGAGTTGTAAGGTTCATAGAGTTTTTTTTTGTTCTTAAGAGTTGGAAAAAAATGACCACAAGAAAGAATTGCCGCCGTGATATTGGAGGAATGAGTCATTTCAACTCGTTCTAACAACAAAAAAGATGGTTTGAATCCGGAATATAAATTTAATGAAACAAATCATAAGTCTCTTCATTCTTATCTTCAGCTCAGCAGATAGTTCTCCATTCATCAATCAACCCAGCCGAAATAGAGGAAAACAATAGGGAGATTACTGGTCTTTTGAAGGATGGGAACATAGGACCTTAGAGTTTGCTTAAGTACAGTAATAGATTTTCTTGTAATATTGAGAATAGGGTTATTCCAGGAGAGGTTCTCATCAAAGGTAATTCCTAGGTTTTTACTGTCAAGGAAAAATTAATTGCCCTGCTTTTGAGGTAATGTAATAGTAATAATAATAATCTTTTTATTTATTCTGGGACGAGTCCCTTTAGAATAATTACCAAGGACAAAAATGTGGGCGTTTGAGCCTCAGATATATATAAATGGATTTACAAAGTAAACTAATAGGTATAATGGAAAAAATCTTCTAACTTAAATCAAAAGAAAAATAATTAACAATTGAAAAGAAGAATAAATGAAGGAACAATGAAATGAAAATAAACTAGTAATATATATACATATTTACAGACATTTCTATTTACAATTTTATCGAGACTGGAAGGAAAGTAAGTGATTGAATAGGCGGGATTTAAAAGTAGGGAGAGTATTGGAACGACATATGTCAGGAGGGATGGAGTTCCATAGGGATGAGGATCTAATAATAAAAGATTTATGGAAAGCAGCGGTTTGGTGTGCCATTATATATAAATCTGAACGGGAACGGGTATTACGGGAGTGAACAGAGGATCAAAATTGAAGGAGCTCGGAGATGTATGAAGGAAGCCGGGAGTGAATGGCTTGGAAGAGGAAAGATACTTACGGCGGTAGGAAGGATAAAGCCACTTCAACTCTTCGTAAAAACAGGAAACAGGAGCGTCCATTAGGGTCCTGAAGATGAATCGTACAAAGCAATTTATCAAACGTTTCAATCTCATCTCGAATCAGCAGAGACGCCCCCGATATACCGTACAGCAATCGTCAAAGTGGGGAAAAATTAAGGAAGTCACTAGGAGCCTACGGGTTTCAAGGGGAAATAGGTAACGGAAGTAATTTAGACCTTTTAAGGTGGAAATGGTACGGCGGGAGACATTGGATACATGATTTTTCCAGAAAAGCGATTGATCAAAGATCATTCCAAGGTTTTTGATGGAGGGATAAAATTTGATGGGATTATCATTTAGGAACAGAGTTGGAATATTAGGAACAGTTTTAAGGA